CACCGAGAAGCCCCTCGCACTGGTGGGCAGGAGGAGGGTGACCACTGGAATCAAAGAGGGGGTGAAATTAAATTGGGGCTCACTCCAAGCGAGCCATGATGCTACCTCAGAAACAAGGGAAAATGGCCCCAAAAATGAAAATCACTCCTTTTTTTTTGGGTGGGGGAGTGGGTGACACTCAGGAGCGGTGCGTGCAGGCAGGGGGTCCGTCACCACACACATGACAGGCAGGAGGAGGCATGAGGCAGGCGTGACACCCGACGTGAACACGCTTAGGTCACGTGTGATGTGGAAGAACAGGGACAGACGGACACACGGACACACCTACGAGCAGGAGGTGGGGAATTGGCAAAGACCCCAACACCCACCGCCGGGATTGGGGGGGGGACACACAAAGTCAGTGGCCAAAAAAGTGCTGATGGCAGGAGATCAGGGTGAGCAACCAGGGGTGGGGGGACCCACACGTCCTTGTCCTGTCCCCCGTTTTAGGGGATCTGAAAGACGTTGAGTTTACTGGTGTTTTTGAGGGTTTGCCGGCTTTTGCAGAACCAGACGCGGTCGACTTCTCTGTCGTATTTGAGCTCCTTGGCGATCTCGGTGATCTCCTGGCCGGTGGGCAAAGCGTTCTTCTCAAAGTAGGCGTTGAGAGCCTCGATGGCTTGTGGGGTGAAGGACGTCCGGCGTTTCCTTTTTTTTGAGGGTTCCCCCCCAACAAATTCCATCAGATTTTGTTGCCCTTCTTGGTTACGGAGTTCGGCTTCGCTCAACCATTTCTCCAACACTGGTTTCAGTTTTTGGGCGCTTTTAGGGGTGATGTCCAACTTCTCAAACCTGTGGTGGGAAACGAGGGACCCTCAGGGACACTGAGGACATGGGGGGGACACCGGGGGGACACACCGTGACGGGGTCAGGGGCACCAAGACCACGGCGGAGAGAGATGCCACGGTGAGGGGCTTTGTGGGCAGCGACCTCACCCACCTTCCTATCCTCCATTTTCCTTCCTTTTCGCCCATTTTCCTTCCTTTTCTCCCATTTTCCTTCATTTTCTCCCATTTTCCTCCTTTTCTCCCATTTTTTTTGCCTCCTTTTCTCCAATTTGCCTCCCTTCCTCCACTCTCCTTCCTCTTCTCCAATTTTCCTCCCTTTCCCTAATTTTCCTTTCCTCCCATTTCCCTCCCTTTCTCCAACTTTCCTCCAATTCTCTCAATTTTCCTATTTTTCTCTAATTAGCCTCCTTTTCTCCCATTTCCCTCCCTTTCTCTACTTTCCCTCCTTTTCTCTCCTTCTCCTTATTTTCTCCAATTTTCCTGTTTGTCACCAATTCCTTTCCTTTCCTCCAATTTCCCTCCTTTTCTCCCATTTCCCTCCCTTTCTCTACTTTTCCTCCTTTTTTTCTCCTATTCCCAAATTTTCCTCATCTCCAATTTCCCTCCATCTCCAACTTTCCTCCCATTCTCTAATTTTCCTATATTTCTCCAGTTTCCCTCCTTTTCTCCAATTTTCCTATTTGTCTCCAAGTTTCTTCCTTTTCTCCCATTTCCCTCCTTTTCTGTTTTTCCTCTTTTTCTTCACTTTTTCTCTCTTTCTCCACTTTTTCTCTTTCTCTACTTTTTCTCTCTAATTTCCCTATTTTTCTCCCATTTCCCTTATTTCTTCCATTTTCCCCTTCTCCACTTTCCCTCCTTTTCTCCCATTTCTTCTCTTCTCCAATTTCCCTCCTTTTCTCCAGTTTCTCTCCTTTTCTCCAATTTTCCTCTTTCTCCCCTTTCCCCAATTTCCCTATTTTTCTCTCCTTTTCCCCCTTTTCTCCCCTTTCCCTTTCTTTCCCCAATTTCCCTATTTTCTCCCCGTTCCCTCTCCCCGGTTTCCCTATTTCTCTCCCCAATCTCCCTATTATTTTCTCCCCTTTCCCTCTCTCCCCGGTTCCCAGTGTTACCCAGTTCCCAGTGTTCCCCATTCCCCCTCCCCGGTTCCCCGTGTTCCCGGTGTTCCCCACTTCCTGGTGTTCCCTGTTTCCTCTCTCCCCAGTTCCCAGTGTTCCCCTTTCCCTCTCCCCAGTTCCCGGTGTTTCCCGGTGTTCCTGGTGTTCCCTGGTTCCCGGTGTTCCCGGTTCCCGGTGTTCCCCGGTTCCCTGGTTCCCGGTGTTCCCGGTTTTTTTGTGGTGCCCGGTTCCCGGTGTTCCCCAGTTCCCCAGTTCCCAGTGTTCCCGGTGTTCCCCGGTGTTCCCTGGTTCCTGGTGTTCCCCAGTTCCCCAGTTCCTGGTGTTCCCGGTGTTCCCCGGTGTTCCCGGTGTTCCCTGATTCCCTGGTTCCCGA